ATCTTACCACAGCACAGATTTCGAGGTCCACCGCCATTGGCTTGCTCTCACCCACTCTCTCCCTCTCTCTCAATGGTACTCCGACGAGACCAGTCAATGGACTCTCGATTACCCCCCATTTTTTGCATATTTCGAACGCTTCCTTTCAATTTTCGCGGGTTTCGTCGATCCCCAAATTGTGCATCTCCAAAATGGTTTGGATTACAACTCGAATACCGTCGTGTACTTCCAGAGAATTACCGTTATTGTATCCGATTTATGTCTTCTTTATGGGGTTTTTAGATTGACGAGGAATTTGCATCCTATGAGGCGGAAATTGATCTGGGTTTTGGTTGTTTGGTCTCCGGCGCTCGTGATTGTGGACCATTTGCATTTTCAGTATAATGGATTTCTTCTTGGGATGCTTCTGATTTCTCTTTCGTATTTGGAGGAGGGGAGGGATTTGATGGGTGGGTTTGTTTTTGCAGTCTTGTTGTGCTTCAAGCATTTGTTTGCTGTTGCGGCACCTGTTTATTTCGTTTATTTGTTAAGGCATTACTGTCGGGGAGGATTAGTGAGAGGTTTTGGACGGCTTACAATGATGGGATCTGTGGTTGTGGCAGTTTTTGCGGCAGCTTATGGACCGTTTATCTATCATGGCCAGGTATAAAATTCTGCCTCTCACTGTTTGAGCTTGAAATTTTGTTTTTGGCAGGAACGTGTAGTTTCTAGGCGACCAATTTACTTATATGTTAATTTTATCAGCACGAATATGGTATATTGATTTTTCTTGCTGTATTCTATCTTCTATGCGTGGATTTGAGATGGGACTTAATTATAATTTGAAGTATAAGTTAGTCTGCGAGGTCGGCAAGAGGACTACTGAGAACTGAAATCTGGTATGCAGGGTATTGCGAGATGTTAGGAATATATTAAAATGATTAAATACTATAACCTTAAGTTTTTGGGTTTAGTGGTGATTTAATGTAGCATCGAAGCATGTTCAAACTTCTATAATGTTATTTAACCTTGAATTAATACTGATAGTCTCTTGGTGGGTCTTGTGCTAATTTTTGAACTCTGGGAGAATGTTAAGAGTGTATTTTAGAAATTGAATAAGTTATAATCTTAAGCTTATGAGTTTGGTGGTGATTTGATACTAGAGACACTTCTAATCCCATCTTTTCACTTCCTAGGTACGTGAATCACCTCTCTCTTGAGATTGAACTGCCCCAAACTTTATGCGCATTGCATAGCATGTCACCTCATATTACTAAACAAATTGATAGTTTCTCTTCAGAAAACTAATCGACATGTATGTTCTGACTGCATTCCATTCTATATCTGTATTTCTAGCTTTAGGTTCTTAGTGGCAGCTCTAGTTATATTACCAGATGGAACTTCACTAATAATCATGATTTCCATGGAAAAATATATGACTACTATTATGTTCCTTGCAGATGCAGCAAGTCATTCGACGCATGTTTCCTTTCGGCAGGGGGCTTTGCCATGCATATTGGGCCCCAAATTTCTGGGTTTTTTATATTTTACTGGACAAAGGACTGTCCATTTTCCTTAGAAAACTTGGTTTTAGTATCAAGATACCAACGGCTTCATTTACCAGTGGTCTGGTTGGTGATTCATCTCCATTTTCTGTGCTACCTCAGGTAATTTCTATGATAAACTAAATCTACTCGTAGAAAATTGAGATAGTATTGAATTCTAGTCAGCCCATTCACAATTTAGACCAACCGTTTACTTTGTCGTGAACTGATTTTTAGACTTCTAAATCAATATTTGTTGTTAGTCTAAAAAATTTTCGTTACACTCTAATCTTAGCGTTCAAGCAGCTATGCTTTATGCTTTCTTTCACGACTGGCCCTGTTTGTTTCCACTGAAAGAAAACATTTTCATAGGTCCAGTTGTGCTAGAAATTCTTTGCTTCGTTAATTTGTAAGGTAGGTATTCTGTGGTCTACGCATTCTGATGCACAACATAATATTTTATCTTCTTCAATTTATTGCATTTTTGTTAATCACCTTGAGATTGAAACTTTGATTTGTGAATCCATTGAATGGCAGATCACTCCCTTGACAACCTTTGTTCTGGTGCTGCTATCTTTGTCTCCTTGCATAATCAAAGCTTTCAAAGATCCTCAGCCGCGGATGATCACTAGATGGGTGGCCTATGCCTATACATGTGGTTTTCTATTTGGGTGGCACGTTCATGAGAAGGCATCACTTCACTTTGTAATTCCGCTTGCCGTTGTCGCGGTGCAGAGTTTGGAGGACGCAAGGCATTACTTCTTACTATCAATTGGTATCTTCTTTCCCTCTGTCTCACTATGTCATCGGCCTTTATTCTGTCGTTATTTTGGAAATATTTCATTAGGATCTTCCCCTTTTAAGAACATTCCATTATTTATTGATTAGGATCTTGACACTGCTTAAGGTAGTTGCTATGCTGGTAGATGTTTCATAGATAACTTCCATGGTGATCTGATCTGAGTTTGTGATGACAAAGTTAAAGCTACTATTTGATCTAGAATTAGGATAAGGGCCAATCTTTACATTATGCTCTTAAATGTAATTTCATTACTTTTTGGCTACAACATCATCATGGTTATCACAAACACGTGGTCAATGGCCTTGGATATTATGTCGATTATTTTCTTTTCTTTTCCACTAAAAATTCATTATAGCTCTTAGCGTGAGAGTACTATTAGGAATAGTTTGAGAATATTATTAGTATATCAATGGTAATTAGTTAGGGGTGAGTTGTTATAAATAGGAGTAGTAGGGAGAAGAGAAGGATATCTTGGAGAATAGTTTATGGCGAGGAACTTGAGACAGTTCTTGGAAGAGAGATAATCCATTCGAAAGACTCTTGATGTTGTAATTTCTCTTTGGATATTGCAATATAGTTACTTAGTTCCTTTAGGATATTTAGGTTCCTTACACTCACATGTTTCCATCTTCAACTTTCAAGCATCGTGTCACATGTAGGAAACTCGATTCTTTTGGTGGTTGGCTCTTCGAAGGACTACCACCAATAGTCATTCTCATAACAGAAACCTTTCTTTTTGTCTCAATCTCGAGATATTGCAGGGGAGGTTTGGAGGGGTGCTTTAGATTTAGAAAAAGAGGAAGAAGTAAGAACACAGAGACTTTTTAAGATGAAAAATCGATGAATGGGCGGTTTGATCTATTTTTGTGGTTTGCCTTCCCTCACCCCTTTGATGCACGCTATTGTGGCCAATCTTCCTAACCACGCTACACGTGTCTCTTATCTTTTAAAACAAAAATTATAAAATTATCTTCCATCCTTTCTTTTTATGTTTCTTCCCATCTAATATAAATGCTACATTACTTTTTTCATGCAGTGTCTTGCTATTCCTTGTTTCCTCTACTCTTTGAAGCCCAAGAATATCCCATAAAAGTGCTGCTATTGCTGTTGCACTCCATTCTGATGTGGTTAGGCTTTTCTGGACAATTTGACAAAGGAGATTCAGTTAAACAAACCACATCAAAGACGAAGCGACGACAAGTACAAACGAAGGGAAGTATGACTGCAATTGGAGAAGCGTTCCATGTTAGATTCGTCGAGAAGGTTTATCTTGTCGGTCTCTTGGTAGTTGAAATCTGGGCTCAGTTTTTGCATCCTTTTGTTCTAGGTGGTAAGTTTCCTTTTGTACCACTCATGTTGATTTCTATGTATTGCTCACTTGGAGTCATGTACTCTTGGATTTGGCAGTTGAAATGGATTCTTAGGCCTCCTCCTAATTGAACTATTGTAGTTGGTTCTTCATGTATTCACACTCTACACTGATCATTGGTAGAAGTTTTGATTTTCTTTTGAAGTGGCAATTTCATTTCAATTCTTATAGCCAAAAAAGAAAAAGAACACACTATTTGATGGTGTTTTTTAAATCTGAAATGAAATCGTGTCTTCAACCTACAATTTCTTCAAGGGGCCTGCCATACCATCGAAACTCTTCCAAATACTTTAAAAAACCTCATCTTTTAAAACTGTCAAAAGTACCTTATTTCTAGAAATATTATTAAAATATATAACATTAATAAAAAAATTCCTACCATTTGGGTTAGTGAAAAAAGCCCTTAACCAATTAGTAACATGACCAAAGTTGTTCTAAATTTCCCAAAAAATATATAACCATTTTAAAATACTAAAAAAAAACTTTCTAACATACAACACTTGCAAATTGGCTCTTAGACTCTTCCTTTAATTCAATATACAACAAAAATTTCAATCCTCCCGACTCGTATGATTCTCCTTCCTCGACTTCGATTCTGTCTCCTGGTTTTCAATAACCCAGAAACCACAACCATCTCTTCTTTATAAGTTCTATAGACCACTTCGTCTGTAACGACTCAGAACACATAGCAGGCGGCCAAAGATCCTCAATCTCACTTTCACATCACCGGAAATGAAAAACAAGAAAAGCTCTTATAAGAGAGAACGAAAAACAACAAAACCATAAAAGTATTATTCCAAAAAGCCCCATTGGAGTGAGCTCTACTGCATTCAACACCACTTCCACTGAAGCAGCCCCTCTTTTGCTTGATCCCCAAACCATGATTTTCAAGAACAAATGTTGAGTTTGTCTTCCCACTACTGAACAAAACACACCACAAGAATGGCCCTTTATGATGCACCCTTACCATCCCCACCCCCACCTCTGTGTGAGACTTGTTCCTCAACAGAGCAAGGGCTTTCTTGTCAGGAACGAGCACCTGGGAGAAGGCAACCGATGGCTCTAAATACTTGGATTGACAGGCCAAGATCTGACCGGTTATCGTGTCGAAAGTCGGCAGCTCGACGCCGCAGTCTGGAGCGAAGATTTCTATGAAGTCGTCGGATGATGGACTGCAATTGACTGTGTTGTTGCTTGTGCAGTTTCCTTTGCAGAAGTTGACGAATTGCAGCGCCATGCATCCGAGACCGGGGCTGTCGCTTAGGTGAGAGAGCTTCTCGGTGGTTCGGTTTTTGTTGATAATATCGACAAGATCGTTTGCTGGGTTTCCTGCAGAGTAAAGAACGAAACTGAATTACCTATAAATCCATCCAGCCTAAACAATGTGAAATGAAAAATGATAACAACTTCAACATTATTCTTTACATTCCTCTGATGTTATGCATAACTTTCAATACCAATTATCCAAAATCAAGAAAAGGATATATCACTCATAATACCCAATTCAAAATCAATGGAAATGAACATCAAAATATGATAATGCTATCCTCTTATCCCAAATCAAAACCTCTCCAAACTTCCATCCCATCATGCCAAATCAAAGTTTCCAAGAAATCATAATCTCAAATGAACTACGAGCGATTTGCCGCAAACCCCACACCTTCTACTCATTTGGGCTCGGCACTTGCCCCATCAATCACGGATAGGTCGCGTGCCACAATGCCATCCATTTTCGAGGCTAGTTGATTCGACAGGTGATTGGAACAGTGTAAACTAATGGGTCTACTTGGACTAATCAATTAAAATCTCAAAGGCAAGGGAAAAATAACACTTCTCAACAACTTCCTTTAAGAAATGAGTATGGCAGAGGCAGACAGTTGGGTAATGCAATAAATTTGCTAAACTAAACTCAATCTCTTCAACACAATCACTATCATTTACAAGACAGATGAAAGATAAATCCAATGAAATCAAACCCATCACATTTCAGATTTAGCCATGGAAAGAAACAAGCAGAATCAAAGAACAGAGAAACCATACCATGGTTCTTGGAGGAGGCAAGAACAGAGAGCAAGAGATAACAGAGAATGAAGCCCTCAAAGACACAGAGCTTCCTCTCCATCACCATCTCCACACTGACTGTAAGATAGAAAGGGGAAAAGGGAAGAAAAATGAGGGATTTCCCAAAAGGAAGTGGGAAAGAAAACCCTAGTTGGGGAAAAAGGGTGTAATGGGGAAGGGAAATTTTCCTGGAAAAAGGAGAGGGGAGAAGAGAGTGAGAGATAATTGAAGAAATTTGTTGTAGAGTTTGTGGGACAGAACAAGAAAGTGGTGGCCCCAAGTAGCCGTTCAGCTCCTTAAAGAATGGGGTTTTTGAAAAATGGGATTTTTGAAGTGGGCCATTTATGGGTCAGATTCTACTACAGTGATAATGGAGGTACCCCTACCCCATCCAGCTGATTCCACCATGGCCCAAGCAGTAATTTGCAGTGAAAAAATTCTTAAATATTGGAAAAGGAAGTTGGTTTTAAATCTGTGTTAAAATGGTTGCAAACGAGAAGTACCAAAAATATAGTCAAATGTCACGGGTTCAAATCCTATCATCTCTACGTATTATTTATCATCTGAACAGTAACGAGGAATCAATTGAGATCCATACAAATTGAACATACATATACCAATCAATCTTTTTTTTTTATTTAATTTTTTGATATTCTATATGATATAATATATTCCGTTAAGGACAACCCCTCACGTAAATTGTTTTGAATGGGTAAATCAATCATTTGTTCGGATCTGACATTAATCCTCTCATACCTACTAATTGGTGTACTTGAGATGCATTTCCTCCAGCTCTCGAAAAGGATAAAGTTGTAAAATCGTATATTTTTAAAAAAATTTAAAATAATTTTTAAAAATTTGAGAGAAATGCAAAAAATAAGATTTTTTTTCTATTTTTTAATAATCTAAATAGGCGTCTGATTTTTATAGATGATTAATATAAAGATGGTTGATGACTGATGAGCATCTAAGTATTGTTTCTTTATTAGAGAATAATATCGATGGTTGTGTTTATTTAGTGTGTGAATGATATTTTTAACTTTGAATTGTAGTGTTTGTTATTGCATCATGAATTAAATGACGACGAGATATATTTTAAAAAATATAGGTAGATTGTGCAAAATTTGATGACAAAAAAAGTAAGAAAGTTGACAAATTTGAGTGTCATGATTTGGAAACTGATATGTAGTTTAAAAAATAGGCATGTTAACTGTGTGGCTCAGTCGCATTRTTATATTTCTTATAGGTACACTGTTATTTTAAATAAGGTAACGCTTATTTAGTAAACATATCACACATTATTTAATTAATTGTATTGACGATATAAGATCATAGTTCAAAATTTATAGGCATAATTCAACCTTTTTAAAATTTTGGGACTAATCGTACAACCAAATAATGAATAGTATTTTCTTTTTTGATATTCGTGAGAGTCTGAACCAGCTTACGTGCATCTCGACTAATCTCACAGGACAATTGCCTGACCTATAACATTTGGTATCGATAAACACACCGAAAATTACTAATTTATAAGATAGGTGACTATCATAATTAATAACATTTTTAGACTCAATTTGTGGCCAATATTATATATATTTTTGTTTTAAAATTACAATTTAAACAATGAGTAAAATTTTAATAATATTTCAACTAGGGCTTTTTTGTTACTAATACTTCAATTAATTTTTTCTACGTGTACAATTTCTAAGAAATAGAAATATTTTAACTATTAAGCTATGTTTATATTAGCTAATATTTTCAACTAGTTGTATCATATTTAAATTGACATATTTTTAGTTAATATAAACATAATTTAACTAGTCCTTACCTCTTTAAATGTTAGGATGTTTAAACTTGGATCACCTCTTATTTTTTTTTAAAAATACATTTTTTGCCAATATAAATATATAGCTAAAATGTAAAGATGTTAATACTTTTTATTTTGTCATTATTACAACAAATATAGGGCATAAGGGATACATACCATCTATGCTGATATTGAGAATTTTTATTTTATATTTAGATACGAATAATCCATTGTCAGTCTATTCACACAGAGGTTTAAATACTATTTTTTGTCTTTTGGTTCATTTTTTTTCTCCACTTTCAAAATTGTTTCTATACTTTTAATTTTTGTTCATTTTAATCCTGTAACTATAAAAAACCTATTTTGAATCCTGTACTCCTTAAAAGGGACAATTATGGACATATTTGCAAAAATTTAACACAAATTCTATACACAATGAAAGTCTTTTAATACAAATTTATTGTTACATTTCAAAATTTTAAGGAAGTGAAATGTCTAAATTTTAATCGAAATGAGTGAGATAAAAATGAAAAATTAAGGCGCAAAAAAAATACACTTAAAAAAAAGCATAGTAAATAAAACGAACATTTCGAGAGTAGGACAATACACACAAGTTTTATTTTTACGCTTACTAAAATAACAAAAGTTGAAAGTATATGAATCAAAATAGATATTTTGAGGGTATATAAACCAAAATGAATCAAAGTCGAAAATAAACTAAAATAATATTTTAAACCTATATTATATTTATAAAAAAAAAAGACTATTTTTTTGAAAAGTGTTAGAACATTCTAGACGTATTATCATTAGTAAGAATCTCGAAACCCATCTTTAATAATATTTCCATTTCCATTTCTTCGAACACTTTCCAGAGCTCTTGCCCCGCCGTTTCGCTCGCTACCTTATCCATGGCGTCTACTTTCTTCACTCTGAAGCCTTTCATAAGCAAAATCGATGCACCCACTTCGTGGAATCAGAGATTACAGAGTAATTGCTCATCTTCTTCCCTCAGCTCTCCTCCAATCTCAGTTTCTTCTTTCTTTCGTCGTTGATTTTTTGTTCTGGGCAGGCACTCGGAGAACTTCCCTTAGAGTCTGTGCAGTGGCGAAGAAATTGGAACCCGCCAAGGTCTGAAACCCTATTACCCTTTATTGGGTTTTCGATTAAGTTTTGAGTTGAAATCTTGCCGATTCTGGTTTCGTTCTAAGATTCATTGTCTGTTTTGAGTTGAGGGGGGCCGAGATTATGATTTATGAGTTGTGGGTTTGTACTTGTGGATTGCAGGTTGTTCCTCAAGGTGATAGAGTCCTCATTCGGCTGGAGGAGCTTCCTGATGTATGAATTTTTAACATCCATGGCTGTCGTTTTCTTCAATCATTTTACTTTTGTGTTCTTAAGTGATATATTGTTAAAATTCTTAACAGGCTGAGTAGAAATTGAGTTTTTAAGTCGCCTTTTGGAAACTATTTTGTTTTTGAAAATTAAGATTATGAACATTATTTCTCTATGTGCGTTTCTTCTTGTCTTGTAGTTTTAAAAACTTGGTTTTGTTTTTGAAATTTGGCTAAGAATTCTGATGTATTTTTAAGAAAGAGAACAACATACCGTAGATATTGTGGGGAAGTCGGTGTAATTTTTAAAAACTGAAACTAAAAATGAAATTCTTGTCAAACTGGAGCTGATCTTCCACCATATGTTTTGTATCATGACTTAAACAACCAGTACTAGAGTCGCTTTTCGGTCATATGAAAAAAGTAAAGAAACTCTGGGGAAATGGGTTTGGTGGCCACCTTCTCTAGGAGGTTGAAATCCTACAAGTTTATTCATGACCAAATGTTTTAGGGTTAATGGTTATTCCACGAGATTATTTAAGGTGCACGTAAGTTGGTCCAGGCATTCACGAGCATTAAGAAAAAAAAAACTTAACTTATTTTACCTTCAAATAACGGAACTTTGATTTGTAAGTCTGTTTGACATGAATTTACACAGTTATTTGTATCACAACTTGAACTTTGACATTTTATTCTCTTCATTGGAATTTCATATTGCTAAGGAATTGAAAATCTAGATAGTTCTACCTTTCAATCTCGTATTGTATTGTATTCTATTACAATCTTCAATGATTGAGTAAATTGATCATGAGCAGCAGTTAGGAAGTTAACTTTTATAATAAGAATGTTTCTTCTCAAACTTCAACATCTGAGTCCATTAAAGGGTTTATTCTACTCTATAACCAGGTATCGAGTTTTTTGGCACTATGATAAATGAATTTCTAGGTCACAGGCGCTTTTTTATCCACTGCAACAAGGATGTTCTAATATATGGTTGCATTTTGAGCTTGCATTGATGTCTAAGTTAGTTGCACCAAATTGAGTCTATGAGAAAGAGAAACAGTGATTATTACAGTTAAGGCACCGCTTCTTGGGGATAGAAATTTGGAAATTAGATCAATTGGAGATGCTAAATATGTTTGGGAAACTTTAGAACTTCGTAGATTGATTTTAATTGCTAGTATAAGTTTATGTAGCATGCTTTCAAGTAATAAAAATTTAGTGACCACTGAAGAAAATAGTATGTATGAATGACAATGCTAATCACTTGAATTTTAGGTACTGAAATTATACTAATTTATCAGCATTCCACATTGTCGTGCAGTCTGGAACTGACTCTTCAATCAATTTTTTTGTCACAGAAATCAGCAGGCGGAGTTTTGTTACCCAAGTCAGCTGTTAAATTCGAGCGTTATCTTTTGGGAGAAGTAAGTGAAATTCCTTCCTTCTCCAAATCTGCTAAGATGGAAAGCAAAACAAAACTGCGGCAGTCCCTTTGTGTTTATTTACTCTGCTGCTAGTGCTGACTTTTCATCGTTTTTCAGATCCTCTCTACAGGTGCCGATGCTGATGCTGGGGAATTGGAGAAGGGAAAGAAGGTTAGGATTCAACTTCCTGTTTAGCTTCTTGTTTTTCTACTGTTGGTGTTGAAAACTACAACATTTCTCCAAGGATTCTTAATTTTTCTTTAAAAAATGTTTTCCTGTACCTTTTTATTAAGAGGAGAATAATTTTATTGTGTTGCAGGTTCTTTTCTCAGACATGAGTGCGTATGAGGTAAGCCACATTAACTTGAAGATTACTTGTTCATTTCAGCAGTTATTCTTCAGAATTTTCACAGTATTTTATGATTTTCCATCTGAACAAGTAGTTATCATAGCATGTTCAGCTTAATGAAATACATAGACAAAATTGAAACTTAATTATAGAAACAAGAAATTGACACAAACATCAGTAGGTAAAAAAAAAAATAAAAAAATAAATAATAATAAAGCTTGTGGGATTCAAAATAAATGAAGCCCACTTATACTAGGTCCGATTGGTCCAACCTGACCCCGACCAGACCAGCCACTAAAACTGTTAGGATCCCAAATACACTAAACACAAGATAACTATATTGCAATATCAAAGAGAAATTACCATATCAATAACTTTTCGAGAGTACTATCTCTCCCTCAAGAACTCTCCAAAGTTCCTCACCATAAAATACTTCTCAAGATGCCCTACTACCCTTATTTATAACAAACTCACCTGACTAATTATCATAATGTCCTTAACTACAATACTAATACTATCCCATATTCCCAAACTAACCCTAATAGGACTCACAAAAACACAGATGAAAACAACCAGACTACACAATTGGGTTAACCACAAGAGAAGACCTCAAGCCATTTTGGTGCAATTAGGGGTTAGATCCAAGGTTCTCCATAGATCCAACGCTCAAACTCGAACACCCTACCTCAGAAGAAATTATTTGACATGGCCAGAACAATGCAGTTGACAGTTTTATATCGTTTGATATATGATAGAGACTGAAAAAGAAAAGGTAGTTTGACCATGCATTCGACAGTTACGAGGGTGGTGACTATATTGAATAATTACTCGGACATCATTTAAGTTCGGCAGCATTTTGTTCTGTCCATTGATGTTGAATATGGATGGTTTTCTTTATTTCACAGGTGGATTTAGGTACAGATGCAAAGCATGTCTTCTGCAAAGCAAGTGATTTGCTGGCTGTAGTTGAGTAAAGATTCAGGATAAGATTGCCATAACTCTGGTTTTATTTTAGGTACCTTCTTTTTTTTGAGAGGCAGAAGGATATTTCAGGCATTTCCAGCTATAATATCAATCTAGTTGAATATTTCATATTTAGATCTCTTACCTCAGTCTTTGATAAATACTTTACTCTGTTTTGCCATTTCTGTCTTCTGACAAACATTTCTAAGAACTTGCAAACTGATAGAAGTCAGGAGAGGGAGACCATGGTAAGGTGTTGCAAGATAAGGTCTATTGAAATCAAACTGATTAGTTTGGGCTAAAATCGAATTTTCAGTAATAGTTAGTTTGGTTCGGTTTGTGTTAATATAGCAAGCTGATTATCACAGTTTGGTGTACATGGAATCGTATCGAATGGTGGGAGAGGGGGAGAGAATATGAGGAAGATATTAGGATAATTTTGATTTCAATAATAGAAAAGACCGACTGGATCGGACTACAAACTGGTTTGATTTTGGCTCGGTTTAGTTGGTTTTTAGACCCTGTTTACTTACCCCTGTTTACTTACCCGCAATCATAATTAATGAATCGTAATGAAAATTTTGATTCACTCCTACAATCTCATCAATTTCATTTTCATTCCTTATTTCGTGGACTCTACATATTAATTTCATTTTCATTCCTTATTTCGTGGACTCTACATATTAATTTCATTTTCATTCCTTATTTCGTGGACTCTACATATATATTATAATTAATTAATGTAATATTTTTACCCTTTCTCTCTCATCTATAGATTAGAACCATATAATTTTTAATTAGTTTTTTTTATACTTTTATAATTTCTTCTCCATTTATACCTTATTTGTTGATGTGATTTTATGATTTTATTATATAATATGATAAATTAATATGAATAAATTTTTTAAATAGATATTATTACTTTTAGATATTAGAATAATAAAATTTAATAATATGTTATATTAAAGTTTGATTGTTCTAATAAAAAATATTTTATTTGATGTAATTTTATTTTAAGTATTCAGTATCTATTAATATGAGATAAATGGTTATAATAAAAAATATTTATTATCTATAAATTAAATTAAAGTTTACTATTATTGTAATTTAAAAAATATTAGCACAATAATAATTAGCTAAAAAGAAGGAAGAGGTATATCAATAATTGTTATATATCTGATTTCGATTTTGATTTTGATTCCAAACCGTTTTAGTAAAACATTACGATTTTAATTGATTTCATTATGATTGATTTTCATTTTGACCTTAGTTTCTTTGTTCACTTGTCTAATTATTTTAATTTCGACATTTTTTTAATCTATTTTTAGCATTACACTTCGAGTTCTCATCATGAAAAAATCTTCAAATTAGGTGTTTTTTTTTTCAAAATCTCCATAAACAAATTGTATATTTATTTTGTTTATTTATTACAAAATAAAGCTCTCTTTGTTTTCTGTTTTATTATTTTATATATTTTTTTATGAAATGTATTTACTTCTATTTTTAAGATATGATAAAACATGTAATAAGAAACTACACAAAATCTTTAAAATTAAGGAAATTAGTTACTCATCCTTTTATCATGGGAAATCTTTTGAACAACTCGTGCAAATGTATAAATAAAATTTAGAATAAAAATGGAATAACTAATCAAATTAAATCTCTATTCAAATCACCTAAATATTTAAAATAAAAATAGAGAGATCTCTTTAATTTCTTTTAATACTTACTTTTTCATATATGACTGTATAAACTAAAGAATTGCCACAATTAAAGCACAAATTTTATTCATTAAAGCAACATAGGTGATCAAATATTATAAGTTTGAACTCGACTTCATTCAAGTTCAAGTTTCATAGTTCAACTATTTAAGGTACATCTCAAAAACTTCATTTCTCTAATTTTTAACGATAATATTTTAAATGGAAAGCAGGTATCTCTTAGTTACTCTTTTTAGTCCTAGATCTATTTTTTTTTTAAGTTTTCTCTAACATTGTAATTTCCGCCATATAAAATTAGACTATTTTTTTTTTGTTTGAAGTGAAATATAAGACTCTATTAATGATTTTTTTTCTAAAAATTTCATCTTTCCTAGGTTAAACTATTCTATCTTTTTAAAAATTTTAACTGAGTCGGTGTGATTTGGTCTTCATAATTTTGAAAGATTGAATTTGATCCTCATAGTAAATTGCCTCTACCATTATCATATTGGCAAATCATAAGAATCAAATTAAAAGTATGTCTGCCCACACGAACCAAAATTTGTAATTTAACATTTTTCTTATTAATGTAGTATTCAAAAAGAAAATTTTCAAATTTTTTTTTCCCTCCCTCCCCCTTGCAAAAGGGAGAATAGATGAATGGAGATCAAATAACATGAAAAGGAAAATTGCTTTATAATAATCTTTGCAAAAATCACTTTTAAATTGATTATCCAAAAGGTGATTAAATTAGAAGGCACACCCGATAAGAAGAAGATAACTACTTTGCCAATCCTTGAGACTAGGAGACTGAAGAGGACTAAACAAGTAACAAATGAACAAGAAAAAGTCAAAAACAGAAACTTTTAAAATTTTAACACTCTCCAAACATTGTAATTCCCACCCATAAAACATATTTTGATTCAGCAAAGGATAAAACAAAGACAATTGTTCATAAAAAATCACAACCAAATTAACTCCAAAATGGCCAAATCTCCTCTCTCCCTCTTTATCCTCTCCATATTATTCTTCTCAAATCTCCCAATTTCAGAATCCAAATACACATCTCTCATCTACAAGACTTGCAAGAACATCTCCAAGGAAGATCCAAACATCTCATTCAACTTCTGCTCCACCTCTCTCCAATCCCGCTCCGGCCGTGGCGCCGATAATCTCCGCAGCCTAGGCCTCTTCTCCATCGTCCTCCTCCGCCGCAACGTGACCAACACGCGCCACCGGGTTGAATGGCTGCTGGGATATAAAAGGTTTGATCCGTTCGTTAAGGCGTGTTTGGATGACTGTTTGGAGCTTTACTCCGACGCGATCCCGACGGTGAAGCGGGCTGCGAGGGATTACGTAGCGAAGCGGTATGACGATGCCAACTCGGGGATCAGTGCGGCGATGGACGCCGCGACGACATGTGAGGATGGGTTCAAGGAGAAGAAAGGGGTGGTTTCTCCATTGACTAAGAGGAATGGGGATGCTTTTGAATTGGGAGCCATTGTTCTTGCAATTATGAGTTTGCTTCAGTGAATTATGAAGAGATTAATTGGAGTAGAAAGTTTTAAGAACCAGCATAAATTTAATTTTTTTAGTTTTAAAAGTTGTAATTTTGTTCGTATGACTTGTTTAAAAATTTTGGTTCGTTGTTTTCTTTTTAAACATTTCTTTTTTTGTGAATTCAATTAAGTTTGGGATGGTTGAGGATTCTTCTTGAAAGTGTAGTTTGTAATAAAGTTTAATTATGCTTCGGTTAATTTTATTTTTGGCCCAAATTTTGTTATTTATTATCAGAAATTGGGTTTTTAGTTGAAGAAAGTAATAAGGAGTTCCACTCTCTTTTCATAAGCGGCTTTCTCGATGTGAAAGAGTACCCTTTTCATTTTTTGGAATGTCCCTTGCTCTTTGGCCCGAGTCTCAAAAAGGTGAATTTGCTGTTCCATCACCTGTTAGATCCAAAGTATGTCTTCATCAAGCTCTCGAACAAATAAATTCTATACAACTTGGCACCCTTTTTCAAAAAGGTGAATTTGCCGTTCCATCACCTGTTAGGATCCAAGGCATGTTTTATCACCTGTTCGTCTGGACGCGGCGCCCTTTTTCATTATTGTAGTAATTATGGTTTTATACGACTTGGAATGACTCTCTCATATTAAGAAATTCTTCTCCGGGCCCTCTAAGTCAGAGCAACCTCGTTGGGGTGATACCCGTGAGTGACTCTTTCCGTCTTTAGTTTAGATTTATTATGGTAGTCGTTAGAATACACATTCAGAGGGCTTTAGGGCATATTAAAAATAAGTAAGAGTAAATTTTGGTAAGAGTGTAGAGATAATTGGTAACATTGATTAATTAAATTATGGAGACCAAATTGAAATGAATAATTCTCTGGGCCCTCTGAGTCAGAGCAACCCCGTCGAGGTGATATACCCGTGAGTGACTCTTTCCGTCTTTAGTTTAGGTTTATTATAATAGTTGTTAGCTTTGAGGTAGGAGGTAGGTTTCATTGCAGAGGACACTTGGGGTTCAACTTTGAGTCGATGTTCATTCAGCTGCAGCTGGTTTTGGCATAGAGAGGTTCTTGCTCGAAGAAATTCCATAGGAGATTAGAGGAATTTACAAGGAGATGGGAGAGATGGAAGTTAAGGGCTCGTTTGGTAACGTTTCTTAAAAATGAATTGCATGGCTTCAATATCTATGAATTCAAGTATGATAAAACAATATTTTTAATTTTATTTTGAAACAAAGTGGAAATGRGAACCAGAAAGAAGAAACTTGTGAAGAAACTTGTTTTGTTTGTTTCCAAAATTTCTAAAGAAGATTCTAAAATAAGGAGAAACAAGAAACAAAGTTAATTTCAAAATGCTTAGATTTCTTACGAGGATTGGAAACGAGAAACAAAAAACGGGAACGTTACCAAACGAGCCTTAAATAATCCAGTTTCTACGATTTAATTTTCTATGTTGTTATTTATTGTTTTATTTCCGCTCTCAGAAAAAAAAAGAAATTAATAAATCATAGAAATTCGTATAGACCAAATAGAATTAGGTTGAAAGAATAATTTTGTCTTTAACTTTCTTTTGTTAAATTACTATTAAATTCTTTTTTTGACAACGACTATTCTAAATTTTATATAATTTGTAGTGTTTTAATTACATTTTATATGGCCTAAAAAAACACTATTGAAAAGTGTGTAGATGTCTGCCTAATTAAAGAGAGAACCTGGTTCAAATTCCCCACCAATCCCTAAGGTTAAAATTTGAAGCCTTTTGACATGTGATGAAGACACGTCATAAAATTGGTGAACAAGATTCTATTAAGTAACAGAGGAGGAGCTATTCATTCATATAGGGTAGAGATTCGAACGCACAACCTTAGATAATGATATATGCCTTAAATTGATTAAGATTTTATACTACTGTTAGAGTAGATGTTTGACTCTTACCGGTGAAGTAAAAAAGAAAAAAAAAGAAAAAGATAAATTTCACATTTTAAACTTCTTTGTAATAACCCTAACTAAAAGCAGAGGAACAATAGAAGAAATGCACACATATATACTTCATAGAATCATAAGACAAAATATAACAATTCCTTTATGAAAATAAATTCCAAGCAGACTCTTGTTAATAGTTGAGAGTTAAAATGAATGTTGACCTACCAAGTAGTAAAATAATCGGGGCTAGATGAGGTACCTATTCTCCATCCTTCATCTCCTAATTAATCATTAATTTTAAATAGCACGCCATTTTAATCTACGCTACACTACAAAATTGTTCGATGTGATTTGACGGTCCATAAATGTACTACTCCTTTAACCATTTATTTACGAAGCTATTTCGCCGTCCTTTTCAAGGTTTTAAATGTCGACGTCTCAATTTAATGTAAATATCGATAGAAATGTCGAGATCTCAATTTTATGAAAATATAAAAATGTTGATTTGAATGAATATTTCTGTTTCCAACTAAATTAAAAATAATTAATATTAATATTATGTAAATATTAGTGACATTTTGTTGATATTTTTCATATTTTATCTTTCTTTTTTTGTAATATGATGGAAATGTCGATTTACCCCTCATATCGATGTCAAATCCATGGATACATAGAAATATCGATGAAATATTGACGTGTCGATGAATATTTAATATCATGATCGCTTTTGCACAATATGTCATATAGTCTACTCTTTTCTCTCCTAACCACTCTCAATAAATTAAGTAGCCACCAAACTWGGATTTTATTTGGAGATTTTTCCAAAAAATTTTAATTTTTTTTAGTTCAAGATTCAAAAAGCTGACATTTTGATGGATGATATATGTGCTTTTAACTGGATGAATTAATGCTGACATATATGATATTGACAAAGGTACAATAAAAATAAGATGAAAATTTGAATTTAAAATAAGGGGCAATCCAATTAACAGCAACAATAAATCATGCACAAAATACAGCTAGTAGAACATTTAAAAATCTTATCGTAAAAATTTCCAAACCCAATTACGAAAAATTACTCAAATCTAGTCGTATAATAAAATAAGCACGTAAAAGAATGTTCAAGCTCGACAATCAATACAAAAAAAAATAGCTTTACCCACCACATAGACGTTCGTAACTAGTCACAAATCTTTAAAAAATAACAAATTTTTTTTTAATATAACAAATATAGAGATGAGAGATTGAACCTATGACGGAGCAAGATGTCTTAATCACTGAGCTAAACTCATGTTGACAAAGAAGAATAAAGTATTAATTACAGGTTTAGAAGTGGCCTAGTTTTAATAAAAGAAAAAATCACAAATTCAATCCAAAGTGTCTAATTTTCAGCCACATTACAATATGCAGCCGAGTCTTTTTCCTTGTACAAATAGAATTCTCTCCCTTTTGTTAACAACTTGAAGTGTTCAATAAAAAAGTTATAAAGACAAAACAAAATTGATGAGAGGACCCCATGAATTGATCTCTAGACTTTAATTATATATATATATGATGTAATATTATTTATTTATTATTACTTTTTAGAACAATACGTCGAATGTGATTCAAACACGCCGAGAATACGTATCTTAATCAGTTGAATTGGATTTAGGTTGGCACAAATATTATTTCATTGTTTCTTTTTAATTTTGATGTTAATTTTTTTAATACCTTAAAAAATTTAAAATTATAATCCTAACACGTTTGTCAATACAATACATAAATGCATTAAATTTTGATTACTGCAATTATAGTTCAAGAGTTAGCATCCATACGGATTGAAGATTCAAATCTTTGGGAACGGGAGGGGTACATAGCCCTGGATTTTAAATATTAAGTTACATATAGTATATAATCTGATTAATAAAATGATGTTTGATCTTTTGACTTTTCCTCTACTCTATGGAACTATTTGACGTATGAGAATATTTTTTTCAACAATTTAATCTATTGAATGCTAAAATTTATGACATTTTTAAAAGTTTATGGTGAAGATTACCGCACCGTGCTTGTGCTAGGTATAAATTGATACACATTTTGTCAACATGCATTTGTTTTACTGCTATAAAATCATAGATTCACCATTGCAAATTTCCACTGTTTTTCACAATGTAATGTTTTGAAAGAAAAAATAATTATAAGACACACGACAAAATTTTTTTACTTTTATAATTAAAAAAAAAAGAAGAGGTTACGACAATCACAGTTATTGAATTATATGAATCACTTTTGATATCCTTAAAACAGCGATAAAAATAATTTTTTTTTATTCCATTTCGATTGTTAAAAAAAAAAAGGTTTATTTCGTTTGATTAAACTTTCGACGGAATGTTATATTTTAGAATTTTAATCACTCAAGTTTAAGTCTTTTATTTTAGTTTCTACACTTACATAAAAAGCTATTTTGGTTATAATAGCTAATTTTTAATTAATCACATTTATTAAGAACTTGTATATACATTTAAAACCTGGTTCATATAGACATTCTATTAATCAAATAAATGAACAATATTTGTTTCAATATCAAATTTCTATTTAAGTATTCATTGAAAAAATTAATGGTAAAACAAATATGAAAATCCATCCAAGCTACAGTATGATACTACTTCTATTGACACTGTGTCAATGTCAGTGTCATTTAAGAATGATGTGAGGTCCACAAGTATTAAAAAAATATTTATGGTAAATATTATAGTGTGAACCGTGAATAAAGAGAACTAATACTTCTATACTATTAATTTTTTTTTCCATAAACCATGAAAATAGAATTTTTATCTTTCCAGTGTGAACAAAATTAAAGAGAGTAGACACTCCCATAGTATTAGAAATTTTTTCATAGAACGAGAGAGTAGATACTCCCTTAGTACTAAATTTTTTTTTTCATAGACAACAAAAATAGAATTGACATCTTTCTAGCGTGAACAAAATAATGAGATTAGAGAATAAAGAGAGTAGATACTCCCGTAGCATTAGAAATTTTTTCATAGACTGAGAGAGTAGATACTCCTGTAGTATTAGAAAATTTTCCATAGACCAAGAGAGTGGATATTCCCATAGTATTAGAAAATTTTTCATAGTCAGGGAGAGTAGATACTCTCSTAGTATTAAAAATTTTTTGGATCGAAGATACAATCTCTCTCTCTCAACCAAGAGAGTAGATACTCCCGGAGTATTAGAAATTTGTCTATAGACAGAGASGGTAGACACTCCCGTATTGGTAGAAATTTTTYGGACTGAAGATACAATCTCTCCCTCTACCAAGAAAGTGGATACTCCTGTAGTATTAGAAATTTTTCTGATYGAAGATACAATCTCTCTCAATCGATCAAGAGAGTGGATACTTCGTAGTATTAGAAATTTTTCGAATCGAAGACCGTAGATAAATCTCTCTCTCTCATGGTAATTCTACTTCCTACCCCTATAAAAACAATTCCTTTTCCACCAAATGAAACAACAACAACACACACAAAACACTAATTTCCACACCTCATGTCTCCTCTCTCCCCCTTCATCATCTTCTTCTTCGTCTTCCTCTCCACTCTCCCCACACTTACCCAACCTTACAATAATTCCAACTCCATCTCCTCCCTCATCTACAAAACCTGCAAAATCTCTTCTCTCCAAGACCCCAACATCTCCTTCAACTTCTGCCTCACTTCTCTCCAATCCGCCGCCCACGCCCACCAGGCCGATCTCCGCCACCTCGGCCTCCTCTCCCTCCGCCTCCTCCGCCGCAACGTCACCACCACGCGCCGCCACATCAAGAAGCTACTCAGAAGAAAAAGCAACAAGATCAGGCTGGACCCCTTCATCAAGTCGTGTTTGGACGATTGCTTGGAGCTTTATTCCGATGACATCCCAACGCTGAAGCGAGCCCGGAGAGATTACCGGGCTGGCCGATACGCCGAGGCGAACTCCGAGATCAGCTCGGTGATGGATGACTCTGTTACTTGTGAAGATGGGTTCAAGGAGGAAGAAGGAGTGGTTTCGCCATTGACGAGTAGAAATCATAATGCCTTTGAATTGTCAGCTATTGCACTCTCCATTATYAATATGCTTGCTTGAGAGTGGAAAAAATACTTACTTTTAATTTACATTTTCTTGTCATATTTTGTATTATATATACCTTGTTTCACAAAGSATATTATATCTTCGRRKTWWTTT